CTTCCTAACTGTCTACCGATCACTCACTGGTTAACTATCTATATTTAAAATGTGTATGTAGACCTGTTATATTCAGTAGTTATATTTCATTTACCACAGTTAAAATATATACCAACATTACACTCTATATGCTAAAGCAAAAATATAATGTGATGTTATTTGTTAATGGGTGAGGGTAAATATGAACACTATTTATTACTCCCGGGTATCTAGGGTTGCTCACGACTTCTGAATTGTTATTGGTCTATGCAGTGTACATCCTATTACTCCTGAATGACTACAACTACATATCCCTCTTTTACAAACGTTGTACAACGATAAACTGACTTTACATCCTTTTTTATTACATATCTTATAAAGTTGTATATATACTGGCTGTTTATCCTTCAGAACATCTGTTTTTACTGAAGTTGTACAACGATAAACTGACTTTACATCCTTTCTTATTACATATCTTATAAAGTTGTATATACTGACTGTTTGTCCTTCAGAACATCTGTTTTTACTGAAGTTGTACAACGATAAACTGACTTTACATCCTTTCTTATTACATATCTTATAAAGTTGTACATATACTGACTGTTTATCCTTCAGAACATCTGTTTTTACTGAAGTTGTAGAGTACATCATAATAAACTAACTATATATCATTCTCAATAGACGTAACATTTGTTTTCACTGAAGTTGTAGCGTGAATAAAATAAACTGGCTGTGTATCATTCTATATATCAGATCTATAAAGTTTCTTATCTTTGTTATTATGATCTATAACTTTCTCAGATGTATAAAGTGTTTCATCTTTGTCATTGTGATCTATAACTTACTCAGATCTATAAGGTGTCTTATCTTTGTTATTATGATCTATAACTTACTCAGTTCTATAAAGTTTCTTGTCTTTGTTATTGTGATCTATAACTTTCTCAGATCTATAAGGTGTCTTATCTTTGTTATTATGATCTATAACTTACTCAGATCTCTAAAGTTTCTTGTCTTTGTTATTGTGATCTATAACTTTCTCAGATCTATAAGGTGTCTTATCTTTGTTATTATGATCTATAACTTACTCAGAGCTATAAAGTTTCTTGTCTTTGTTATTGTGATCTATAACTTTCTCAGATCTATAAGGTGTTTTATCTTTGTTATTAT